TGTCCGAGATTATCTCAATCTTTTGTATGCACTGACTAAATAATAACAAATGGTGGCAAATACATTGTGTAGCACCAAATTCATTGTATTCTAACAAACAGAATAATTTTACATGGAACTTCTGACAGAGTTAGTGGCATCTACGTAATTCTGCGCCGTTGAATCAATCGTACTAAGAATCTAAAAAGGGCATGAATATGCATCAAAACAAAAAGTGAAAACTTGCTTTCCTTTTCTCCGCATCTTAATGTTTACTCTAGCAAACGGACTAACTTATTGTTAAAGAGGTAGAGTTATCACCGTTCGTCGATCCTAATGAACTTTCCAGAGTAAAGACTCTTTTACAAGGAAACAATAAAATTACGGTGAAAAAATATCGTTTCCTATTGAGTTTGAAGAAAATGGTAATCTAAGAACCTCGATGATTGCTGTATTACATGTACTAAGCCTCAGAATAGAAACTACACTCAACAAATGTTACTTAATGTGAAGAAAAAGGAAACGATACCCAAATACAAAAAGGGCTCAAAGTGCGACGGAAGAGTGAAGTATTGTGATTAGAACGGAAAACAAATGCTGAATGGTAAAAAAATTTGATAGCTATGGCAAAAGACATGAGAAGTTATCAAAATATTAGGTCGTAACATGAGTTTTGAGACAATTTTTTCATTTTCTTTCTGAAAAAATTATTTCCATTTTTACAGGTATGGGTTATAGTAGATATAAAGGCAATTCTGTGACAACACTCAAATTTCCACTTTTTTCTTTTGCCCTCAAAATTTCTCTCATTCGTATTTTTTATGCTCTCAGATTTTAGTTGGCTTCCTAGAGCATTAGTACTAATATGAGGGAGGTTCGGAAGTTTAGGCTATCCAATAACGCAAGTTGGAAATCTGCCAAAAATGATTCAGAATTGGATTTTCCACTGTGACATGTGTATATTGGAAAGTTACAGCCCTCCACTCAAATTTGGAGATAAGAAAAATCTTTGGAGAAGGTTATGAAGGTTTTTTCCTTCAAGTGTAACAAAACTTATATCACAACTTGATGAGTATCTATCATCATTCGTTAAATATAGCATCGAGACGAAAATGCAAAGCTATTGAAGCTTTTCAGATTGTCCAGAATATTATCCTTCACACTACTTTTGCAGAGGTGTCAACTAAACAAACGTGTCAGCTAGAAAGATAGCTTTGAAGGAAGAAAGGCTGCAGAATAGCAAAGCAATGTAAATCGAGAAAATTTCTTGTTTTCTAAGAAGTATGCACTGGCAAGCCATCAAGCAGCTGAAATGAATTGGCGAACGTGGCAAAAGCTGCTCGTTGCAGCTCATTTGGAGTAATTAACTCTTCAAAGCGAGACAGGCCGACCAGTCATTCTTGCCGGGGTGCCGGGAAAAAACTGGCAATTTCTGCAGCTAGTGGATGTACAGAATCGCTGCGAATGAATGCGAATGTGCCGACATCTGGTGGGGTGTCGTAATTTCTCGTGAACGCGAAGCGCATCCAGCGCACACATCTGTAGTCGAAATGAGTTCTTTTTACACGGCTCCGTACTCCATAGGACTAATCGCCACCGATGCTTGGGATATCTGGGATGCGGTAATGGAGTTCTGACAGCATAATTACGCAAAAGTCAAAGTCAAGACGATAATTCGAGAATGACAGTTGTGACGGCAAAGAAACTCGACTGTGACGCGATTATCGCCATGCAAATCGCAGATGAGCACGATTGCGATCGGTGGTTCACAACTGTTCAACGATAAACATCCTTTTTGATGACAACAGCAGATCGCCGTGGTCCAGACACTAAGGGCATCAGGAAATTTTGATTTGAGTTCTTCAGTCTTAGAGCGCAAGACCCAAGGAACTTATAGCGACAAATCAGGTCTAAACCCTTATCATCCACTAATTCTGTCGCAATCAAAAGATTGCAGACTTGAACCAATTTTTCCCCGTCCACATAAAGAACTATAGAGGTCAGTTTCTCAGGTATCTTTGCCACCAGATTACATCTTCTTTTTACCAGGAAATTTCTTGAGAAAGCACAATCATTGTCCTGCTTTGTGTAATTACAAAAAAAAAACGTTTCACACCTTTTCGTGCATTTTCTTGTTTCATTAAAGTCTTTGTATGAATGAGGGCGCATGATTCTTAACTTTTCCAGAGCGCAAAAACTTGATTAACTTCTTTCCTCGCCCGCTTTGCTGAATTGAATACGAAATGATGGCACACAGCATAGCAACAGACATATTATCTATCCTTGCTGGTCATAAAAATTGAAACCCGCTGAGGACAAACGAGTCTAGAATATAGCAAAGATAATGGGGAAATGATCAAAAAGTTTGCTAGAGGTTGGCTGCCTTTTTACTACTGAATCATTCAAAGCAAATGTTGATACATTGGATAACTCTCGAAAGAATGTGATCAAATATGTTACTTGCAAAAATAAGACTTACAGTGTTAGTGTAAAGAAAAGATAAAGGTACAAAAAAAGCGGGAAACGTTGATTTATGTAATGTTATCTTCTACAAGCTTTTCTAGCAAGAGGGGTTTTTGAAGAGACATTTTGCTGGTAATATTCGAAAATTGAGATTGCAAAATGCACTGATGGAAGCATTTAGTTAGTGCTACTAGAGACTATTTCAATAATCTATTTCCGAAGATAAATGAGTTGCTCTAATTCAGTGGATTCACATTGCAAGAAAGACTTGTGGGCGATATACTCCTATAGCAGAGAATTCTTCCAAAACGAAATTCTCAGCATTCTTGAAACGCAAGCAGAAACGAATTTAAGAGGTGGTCTCGGTGTATCGTTAATGAACGCGTGCAAGGCGCACTTGAAACACAACCAACAAACAGAACGAGAGGTTTGAGAGAGCCGCTTGTAAGAAAGCCAGACATGATTGGAAATGACTGAAATTGTAACGTCAACGGGCAACTGGCACAATCTCAGATGCAGATTGACGCTCGCAAAACTTGAAATAGCAAAGCAGCGAGAAAAAGATGAAAAGCGCAAACAGAGCGTCGAAGACATCTGGAAGGCGACGTGAGCAAAAAAATCGCCTGACATTGGCATGGGCAAATAGAGATGGCTCAGCTCCGATAGCCTTGCTTGGTACGATACTACGAAAAAAGCGAATCGACGACGAACAGGCATGAGACAGCTGGATGGATGGTACTTGAGATAACTTGACAAACATTCAGTCATAACCAGATTAAACTCAAAATGAAGAGGTTTCAAACTCAAAATGAAGAGGTTTACGTACGTGATATCATTCATATGCTGTTTGTTGCGGGAAAAAGATTAGCAGAATGCAGAAGAATAAATGTTCTCCATATAAATTGTATCCTTATCCTGTGTAGAAGCTTCAAAAATATAATTGATTTTAAAATAAACTGACAATCTATGGAGAGACTAAAAGGTGCAAACCTGTTTGTAAGTCTTTGAAGGAGAAAAGTAATATAAGCGTCGTTGAATACACACGGAATGAAGACTGATTTTGAAAAAATAAGTTTGAGAATGTTTTCAAAAAATATTCTCCTTACGTTCTGAAAAGTTTTTCTCTTGAGCTCTTGCTCCCAGCTTTTTCCCAAATTGTTTGATAGGTGTATACTAAATTACGCTTTGTCACGGGGTATCTAAATGTCACGAGGTAATAAACTTTTTGCGTCGTCTTATGCGCCAGATTATATAAACCTTTTGGAATGTCATAAACCAATAAAAACCGCACTACACTTCAATGATGTATGGGGTTTGGGTGAAATGAAGCTAATAATAGTAGTTATTCAAAGCTCAGTCCGAGTAAGTTCAAGACAGAGACCTCCACCTTTTATTTTTGGTAAAACTTCCAAGTCAAGGCTCTATATCCCATTTTGATGATTTAGATGTGACCTTATAAAAGGAAATTATCTCGTTTTCTCGGTAACCTCCTTAAGATACCACAAAAAAATTTCAGTGTAGTTAACAACACTAGATTTTGAGTTCTTCGAGGAAGTCGATTACCACAGCAAGGTCAACGATGTCCCCGTCAAGCGCAGCCACGCTTGAACGACAATGCGTCAAAATTGACAGGTGAGTATGAATTACAGAAGAAATGTGAGGAGAAAAGCAGTCACGTTTTCTGAGAAAGATGATTGAAAGCTCAAAAAGATACTGTGTCTGTACAATAGTTTTTCACTCAACCAAGAATTGAGTTGTACTACTAGTGTTTCTATGCAGAACCACCTTAAAGAAATGAAGATAATAACAAAACAAGCAGAAAACAGTCAAACGACAATGTCAATCGTTATGGTGCAAAAGCACTAGGAAACTATGAGAACTTTGGAAAAAAATTAGCGTTTTTGCTATGATCACTAGTATTTTCTTCCTCATCATGAAACTGCATCGTTGCCTTCTCTCCTTTCCTCTTTTCTTTCACTATCTTTTACTCTTCTAACTTCCCAAATTATCCTTTGAATGAGACATTTATAGAACGATGTTTAATAGAAATAACTATAGTAACTGCTATACTTTGCTTGTAAGATCACTTCGTAACGATTTTTGTGCGAAATCAAAATTTTTCCCTGCTTTTCTCATACTCAAAAAACTTCTTGGATAAGAATAGAACCGCAAATATGGCGTGAAGCCTGCGTCAAAAATGAATAAGAGCGAGAAATGCGCTCACACGGGACGAATGAAGAGTCTGAAATAAAATTTGATGCGCAAAAAGGTGCCGGCATATTTATTGACAGGAAATGATAAGATGTAGTCGCAAAAATGGCGCTATTTCAAACAAAATTTTGAGCAGACAACGAAGGTATCGTTATCATAAATTTTCTTAACGACTATCACTTGAGTTAAGCTTGAAAAAAAAAGAGGAGAGAAGAAGGATGGCGGAGCATGATAAGGCAGCTAATTATGTTCGTGCCCGCCCCTTCCCTTAACTAGTTTTGCGCTGAGTGGAGTAGATAAAATGGTTCCTATATCATCCCAAGCCAGTAAAGTGAATTTCAACCTACCTGGCCTATACCGGCTCGATGCAACATCGCCTTCTTTCTTGTTTCCATGATCGATCGATTTATCGATTATTTAGTGTACATGCTTCGCAATGATGATTCAATCTGCAAATAATCGCTATATAACAAGGCATACGTAATCAAGCATGGCGGAAAAATTCGTAGGCATCGTGAAAAGAAGTGAGGACGAGTTTTATTCGACCCTCGGAGAATCGTTAAATGAAACGACGCAACCACGACAAAGGGAACGTCGAATGTATAGTAACACTATCAGCGTTAATCGGGGCGTTGGACTGCCTGGCAATGATAAGGAGTGAGTCAGGCGAATTGTTGGGCAATGATGAGCATTATAGAATAAGAACAATTGGAGCCCTGAATTGCTCAGCTTGAAATAAAAACCAGCAGAAAGAAAAAGAGCGACAGACGAAAGAAATTCTTCTCATATTCAAGGAAATCAGAAAAAAGCTAAAAGCAATGGATATTCTTGCTATAGAGTGATCGAAAGATCCGATAGTGTAGCTCGAAAATGCCTCACTCCAATAACTTTGAGCAGCATCAGGGTATTTCTAACCTGGGCTTTTTATGTGAAATTTGTTTTGAAGACTTCAGCTGAATCATGGCTGACAGCAGCTCATAAGATTTATTTGTGGTCGAGAAATTCGGTTCTAATTTTCGGCCCAAACCGTGAGCTTTTTGAGAGGACCAATCAGCGTTTGAGATACGATAGAATCACGGTATGGGCTTTAGTTTAGCATTGCATTTTACAACCACAAATTAATTATATAACGCGCCGTTTAAACGATGTTATTTGAAACCATGGAATCAGAATCATAAAAATCTAACAAGGAAGGCTTCCCAAGTCAGCTCGGCCAACCCGGATGAGTCATATATCACCGTAACGGGCTCGAGACGCTGATTCCAAATCTGCCGTTTCCAGCTGCGGAGCGGTCCTGCACGAGAAGTTATGGGTGGTATTTCCCTCCAGAGTTGAGGCACCCTTCAACTTGCCTCCCCTTGTTTATGAGCGCTATATAGGAGGCGCGTGGTCGTCTGGTGTAGTGGTAAGTGTCTTGCTCGATAGGCAGAGGGTCACGGGTTCGAATCCCTTAATTGTAACCACGCGCCTCCTATATAGCGCCCATAAACAAGGGGAGGCAAGTTGACGGGTGCCTCAACCCTGGAGGGAAACACCACCCATAACCTCTCGTGCAGGACCGCTCCGCAGCTGAAAACGGCAGATTTGGAATCAGCGTCTCGAGCCCGTTACGGTGATATATGACTTATCCGGGTTGGCCCAGCTGACTTGGGAAGCCTTCCTGTTAAGAATTCAGAAATCTGCCATTGAGGATGACTGATCACGTCGAATAGTATTGGTAGAGGAATTTACACAAAAAACGATAGCATCCGTGTAAAGAGTTCACAGCTTTCGTCTGATCAATTTAACCCTCATTAAGTTCTATCGAACAGAAAAATCTCATCAAATTCCAATAAACTAATAGCGTAGCTATACCTGTAGCTAGGTAGCGAAACCATCAGCGAATTAGTTCATTCAAGCGTGATTCTTTGAACAAGCGCATACGATGCGCATCAATTTCATAGAGCAAAAAAAATCCTCGAAAAAGCGAAACTGAGCCTATGACAACAGAAAAAGTGACGAGCGCCGCATGAGGAGGAGACGAACAGGAAAAGTATTGGGTTTCTCTTTTGGCGCAGTAATCTTTATAAATGAAATAAGCGGATTTGAGGTATGAATCGTTTCTGAGAATTATATCAAATTGAGGAAATTGATGAATCACTTCCACAACTTTGCTGCTATTGTCTCATGAAATGTGTTTTAGCCAACCAATGCATACCTCAGAAATTCTTACCCTTCAGAAGGAGCTAAAGATTATATTAAAAAAAGCCACTAAGAGTGATTCTACTTAGAAAAATACAATGATCTAAAGGTCATACGTGACTTTTTCACCGTAATTCATTCGAAGAAAACTGCTTTTGAGCGGTAATCCGATTAAGTGCAATCTCAAAGGTACACAAAACAAATCTAACCCGGCTCCTCAAGACGGTCAAGAAATTTTCTTTCCAGGTTGTTTGAGATTCCCAAGCTTGATCATTTTGCCATCAAAAAAAAAAGAGTACATACATATTTTCACTGAAGTAATGTACTCTGGAGGCTCGCTTTTCTCACCCTTTTTTCGAGATAGTAAAACAGCAAAAATGCACTGATTACCAGCTTGAAAAAGTATCTCTTCGACAGTAGCCTAGAAAAAACCTTGCATGAAGCATCAAAACCCCTTGTGAACTTCTGGCACATGTTTTTGCATCTCTGCCCGAAAAGGGCATTTTTATGTTTTCCTTGTTCATGTTCTCCCCCATTTGCTATCGTGGTTTTAGTTTGGTGTCCCCCAAACCTCATCGGAAAAAATGCGTATCAATCAAAGCGCAGCGATTAGGTAAAGACTGCAGCTTGGAAAATGTTTGACTAGTTGAACAATATATTAGGTTTATGATAAGTTGACCATAATAACTCACTCACATGCACAACAAAACAGTATACGGAAAAAACTCAAAAAGTCCAACAGCATGGAGATTGGTTAACCTTATAATAACTAGTTAATAGTGCCCTTCTATAGCATACATAAGGAGTATCGAAAAGTAATTGAATATACATTAGTGGTCAGACTTTGGAGCAGTTGAGCTTCTTCGAAATAATGTTACGAGATAAAAGTCTCATAAAAAATGCGCTGACTCGCTCAGTTTCAAGAGTCGGATAGACGGAAGAAGTGATTCGCTAGATGTGAGTAGATATCTCTCACTGAACTTCTATTCTGATTCTAGCATGATGTTATCAAGGCCCATATCCTTTGAATCAATTGGCAATATTAGCTCAAAACTTGTGGAGTTCATTCTGTTAGATACGTCCGATTAAGCTTGTCATGCAGCTCTTATTCATAGTCTTCCTGCTTCTTTTAACCCAACCCACCAACTCGGTGAGGTAGTATTCAAAGTCTCGAACAGCTTGAACTTGACATTTAGGCCGATGTACTTGACTGGCTCGGAAACAGCATCAAGCAAGCAAAGAAAATCGCAACAGTTGTGTTGAGAGGAACAAAAGATGGGTTTAAGAAAGTAGGAGCTACCGTCTCCAACTTGACGGTAAGAAAGAATGTTTTTTTCATACCTAGAGAAGAGATTTTGAGAATGTTGTAAGTCACTTCAACGAAGGTTACTGGAGGAAATTTCTTGGAAATGGAACATCAGCCTGGAAATGTGGCAGCTATAAAATGTGGCCTACGAAAGTTATAGCGAAAATCTTGGCTCAAGCGATGTGCCCGGATGTAATAGGTAAAAAGTTCAAAGGACTCTCTATTTTTGGTGCTCCTATGCACCTAGATTCCTTCAGACGATCTCAATGAAGCCTGCAAAATACACGACGATTGCTACGATGCGAGAAAGAAATCACGCAAAGTTTGCGATGAAGAGTTCGTTTAGCTAAATTCAAGTTTTAGCTTCTCGAGAGATTTACTGCTGAAAAGGCAAAAAAAAAATCCCAACCGAAAAGCTAGCCATGCCCCCAAATGACGCACACTGGTCACATGCTTTTGATTAATGATCGAGCATACATATTTGCGCCTTTTCCCGAGCTATGGTCAAAATAGTCAGTAATTTAATAAAACTCCAATTTCCCTGTTGTTTTTTGGCATTTAGTCATCTTTCTTGAACCCCATCCATAACAGCTAGAATCTTCCAATTCCAGATTTTGTCAAGCTTTGCGCAGTGCAAAAGAATACCTGACACCTCTGCAACGGCTTCGATGTCAATCCCCTGAGATATTCTGTCGAGCAGTTATGCACGCTGCTCATTGGATTGGATACAAAGATTGGAACCAAACGAAGCCACTACAGAATGATACAAGACGATAAAAATCTCAATGTTTCTTTTTGCTCGTTGCAATAAAAAAATCGAAAGAAGAGTTCATGGAGTGCGTCCAATGTGAACATACCCTTTGATTCAACTAGCTTGGCGGCTAGAAGGTGGGGCTTCGTGACCTAATTAAGGCTAGCTAATGATCAGAGAGCACTCGCGGGGAGAGACGCAGACTGTGTCGCGGGCGCGAGCAGCCTTGATTAGGCCACAAAGCCCGCCTTCCAGGCGCCAAGCCAATTGAATCAAAGGTTAGGCCAAACATCGCAATCAAAATTTTAACTGTGTCAATTATTCAGAACTGGGAAATCAACGTCCATAAGCGTAACCTCGATAGTGATACCACTGCATAACTGCGCTCTAGGAGTAAAATAATCTAGAACTTTGAGCGCATGCCAAACATGCCCCTTACTTCTTGCTTTCAAAGGGAGTAGGGAAAATTGTCCAAGCTAGAGGGTTTCAGCATGAGCTGTGTGATGCTTTCCATTCGAACGATCCGAAGGGCAATGATGCTTGTTATCGCATTAGCAATGAGGTGCAAGCGTTGCTTTCCAGCTTGTTCAACGTGATTCGCATGAATTTTTCAAAGAAGTGAAAATCAAAGGCTTCAAAATCTTCACCATCTGGGTACGCCAAAGGGCGAAACAAACCTTCCGCTTGATAAGCAATCCTAGGTTTACTGTTGATCACCGATTGTTGATACTGATTAGTAAACTTGGGCTATATCCAAGTGATTCACAGAGACAACTAGCACTATGATGAGCATTAAAGGAAATGGAAAATAATAGTGCAGCGGTGATTCCTCCAGCCTTCTGGAGAAACTTAAAGGCAGCGGCTCGGCAGAATGACAACTTTAGGATATTCATCATTCTCGGTTCCCCTGGATGAGCTTAGTCCAAGACTGTGCTTTGCAGCTTCAAAAGATATCAATAGTCCGCTTTTCCAGATGCGAAAAGCACTATTTTTGGGCGGGTATCTGTCCTCTAGAGCGCGATTGGCTCATGGGTACGGTAGGTACAGTATGTCCACGCACGAGCCAATCGCGCTCTAGAGGGCAGATACGCGGTCCGCCCAAAAATAGCGCTTTTCACGTCTGGAAAAGGGGGTTATCGGCATTTTTTGAAGCTGTAAAGCACAGTCTAGGACTTAGCTCATCCAGGGGAACGAGAACGATGAATATTCCAAAGTTGTCATTCTCCGAGCCACTGCCTTTGACCTATGAAAACAAGAAAATTCAGCAAGCAACGCTACTCTTTTCTGGAAAAAATTTCTTAGCGAGAAACCATGCTCTCAAACTGGTCAATCGCCACTGCACCTTCTCTAATTAGTATGTTAGCTAGGAAGCAAAATGGGTAACGCACCAAAAGGACTAGATGTCGAAATCAAAACATTCAATGTTTCTATGACTTCCTTGCCCAGATTTGCCTTGATGCGCGGAAGTGCACGAAGGAATTATGGCCGTCCTTTCGGCAGAGGCACACGTATTTTTAGCGTAATGCTCCGTTGCTGGACTTCTTCTTTGTGCTTGATAACTTAGCTATGAAACATGCTGCAGGTTATTATCTTACAAAGGTACCAACCAGTTCAATGATGTCTGAATCAAAAAAAGCTTTCATTGTCGCAAATCCCTGTCATTAATCAAGTAATTAGGCTAAGAGAGATGAATGATTTGTGTGTGATAGTTCTGCTTGGGGCCACTTGTCTTCTTGAAAACAAAAACAAAATAATGATGTTGCCGAGGTGTAAAAGAAGGGGAATTGGAAAATTAGCAGGTCCATCCTACTATAAAATTACGATTGACAATTTAAATATTGCTACCTATGACTTACCAAATAAAACGATCATCCGGACTCAGTGTACTTTATAGAAGCTTATATGCAAAGCAACAAATTGCTTCAAAGAATAAAGAAAAACTTTGGAGCGGGAAATGTACAATGCTAGTAAATTCCAGAAGCCATCTGAATATAGTAGATGCAACTAGTCACAAAAACCAAGTTGTTATTACGACCGTCGGGCTGAACACAGCTCTCAATGCTTTCATTTCTTTGCAGGACGAGCAATGAAGCATGCAAAGGCTGCAGATGTCGGTCAGAGACTAGCAGCATGTGCTTCCGCGATCTTATTGTATTTTTACGAAAACTTAAGGCAGCCACTAATATTCCAACTTTCAGCACAGTAATGGCTTGGCTGGAATACCTTCAGAATTGAGGGATACTCGAGAAATCAACATACTAGAAAGTAGTGGCTGAGATTTGGCAGCAACGTCCCTTACACGACAAACTTATTTGTTTATTGTTCGATGTTATTTTTCGTTTCGAGAAAAACACAAACTAGCCTGAAGTCATGGGAAAAAAACTTTGCTAGTCTGCATTCCAGCTCCGGCCTTTGGAATTTTTCTTTTACATTTCTATAGATGCTTTGACAGGTTCAGTGGCATTCATTATTCCTTGTAAGTATTCTACAAATCAATCAGCCGAAGACGAAAAAAGGATGAATTGCTTGATTCCAAAAATGGTGAAAAAAAGGTAGAAAACAAGCAATTGATAAATGTGTTGAAGCATCTCATTGGAGCGAAGCTTTATTTCAACTATGGTGCAAACAGCAAAAAACAACAAGTTCTTCTCAAATAAAGATCTAGACTGAGCCAGCCTAGATAGCTGCGGATATCTGTTGATGTTTGCGGTTTGCTAGTAGACTGCAGAGCGTTGTTTGCGCACGAAGAAAAAGAAATTTAATTGTTAGTGATGAAGACAGTGATAAGATGAGCCAGCACAAGACCCACTCTTTCCGAAAGGATCCCGTAAACAGGGTTGTGCAGAGCGGTTGCACAAATATTCCCATCAGCATGTGCACTCTATTTGCTCACGCTGACAAAAGCATGATAACACGAGTGTCGCCGGAGACGCTTCTGCACTCGACTCGAAAACGAAACTGAGAAAGATAGATTTCTTTGGGGATCGTCGAAAGCGAGAAGTTTTTGCCTGGAGGAGTTCGCAAAGAGAAGGGAAGCGCTTGACTTTATTGACAGCTCAGCTGAGGTCTTTGTTTTGGAAGGAGAACCTAGCAACCTAGAAAATGACGTGGAATAGGAACAAAGTAGGAGAGTGGTATCTTCTGCATGTGATGCAAATAAGATTGGAAGAAGGAGCAGACTAGGAAATTTTACCTTAAAAATTTGTACAACTTGCTTTTGCAGAAAGCAAAGTTCAATTATTCAAAAGCAAAGAATTAGACATTACCTCCACTTTAGCGAAGCTTCATCAGATCTTCCGAAATAGGGTATCCGTGTTGATTAAAAAACGCTTGATACTCCACATTCTTATTTCCCCTCTAAATTCTATATTCACAAAGGAGAACGAGTTTCACCTCAGGTTTGATTGTGATAAACACATTTCCAGCTTCAAAAGAAAAATTTTTTGGACTTCGCGCCAACCTTAACCATCGAACATCAACTACTCTTTTCTTGATTCTTGCTTATTTCCGACAGATACAGTCCTGGATATTATGCAGTTTTGATGTAGATAAAGAATAACACTACGAATGAATCATGCAGTACATACACGCTGTCAAAATGCTGTAATCACATCATGGTGATCAGTAAAGCACTGGTCATCACGGCAAGTGTTAAAGTAATATCGCTTAAATAGATTGTTTTTCGCACTACAAAATCGCCGGAAGTGAGCGGCCCTTGGTTGGGAATGAATCACCCTCTCTATCAGATATCACGGCGTAATATTGTAAATCATTTTCACTGTAACTCCACACAGCTTCAGATTAGGCGGTTTATTATAAGTCATGGTGGTAAAAGATTTGAAATTCCTTGAATGAAAGTAGTCAAAATGCAAACAATTATGGTCTCGATTTATCAAATCAGAGTGATTAACAAGGAAAATTGTGCAAAAGAATGAGCACATGAGTTATTTGAGAGTCTCTATGCCTTACTTAGCTCGCCTCAAAACAGTCCAGGCAGTCGAAATAAGCTAAAGAATTAGAAAGAATCAACAGTGATATTAAATAATCCGATGAAAGGACCAATATTACAGGAATATGGAAATTCATGTACGATTATTTCATCTGACAAGATTTCCAACTGTCAGAATTCATTCAAGGAAGCCCTGTAGTGCATAGTCTCCAAATGTAGTTACCTATTTAACAATTAGCCTCTAGCTTCCTGGTAGTGCATTTGTTCAGGAAAATACATACCACACGCTTAATTACAACCACGCAGGCGGAGCACAAACTTGCCTGGTTGTAATTCTGTTGCTTTAACTGAAAACACAATGAAAATGTTTGCTTGGCTCTAGTGAGCTTCTCGCTAAGCATTACAACCTGAAAAAACTGTGAGAAGTTTTGTGGTATACCCAGCTGAAGTGGCTTGCAGAGGCAAGTGATGCTTCGCCCAAGAAAAGATACAGAAACAGGTAAACAAGCGGCACATGGAACGAAAGTTAGCCTGTTGTTTGGTTCAACGGCTTGCGAGAAGAGTTATAAATTCGCAGAGAAGAACATAAATCTCTTTGTTCACCTCAAACGAGGCAATGAGTTTCGGGGAAAATGAGGAAGACAATTAATAATTGGCCCGTAGTAAACCCCCATCAAGGCATCTCTCTCGACGCGGACCGGAGCTGAGGTCATCGCGCCTCAGTCTAGCATCCGGCGAGCCATTGATCTGGATGCGGATCGCTTCCGAGGCATCACAATCAAGTGCGTTCTTGAAAAAGGAACTATTGAGCTGGTTTGGTCAAACGGGTAAGCGGTTGGAATTACACGCGCGCGACCGTGGTTCGAATCCGACTAGCGACACACATTTTGATGCATCGCTGGGCAATCTTTGATAGCGGCCACTACGCAATCGATGATGACCACTATCAAGGATTTCGCCTAGCAAATGCACGGATAAAACAAAAACACATTTAATGACGATGATTTTATGAAAAAACGAAAGGGTTGCAGCGTGAATTTAATGAAATAAATAAATGAGTTCCTGTTTTGGTCAGCT